TTAAATTAATATCATGATTATACTCACTTGGAGCACTCACTGCTTTATATTTCATTCTAAATTTATGGTTTAATACAGCAGAACTATAAGAGGTGAATTTGATGTACAGGTATCTAGAGGTAGACCCAACAGTTGCTGGCAAATCAGAACCACAGTACTTTCCAAGGAGTTTACTGCTGGACAGATATGACGAGTCATACACCTCCAGAATATCACTGATATAGCTTTCGCAACGTCCAAAAGGACTAAATCCAGTAGTCTTGAATTCAAGAAATGTCAACTGTACATGGTAGCCTATTGGTGCCGTTATTACCCATGTACAGGATGAACGCCTAGCATAGTTTGATGGGTATCCTGGGCTTTGTATGAATTCTTCAGAGCCTGAGTAAGCATTGCGGTCTCGCAAACCACACTGGGCTGGAGGATAGAATTTGTACAAGATTAAATTACAATATCTTTTTTAACCAATTTTGCATTCAGTGTGATTTCTGATTTCAGTAAATGTACACCAGGTAAATATTTTACAGGAAACATGAATTACTTTGCATGAAACATCAAAAGGAGCCATACTACCTCAATTCCATGCAAATTTACAATTTACAATTCGWGTAACAACTGATTATAATATTCCCACTTAATTAGAAAGGAATATTAATGTATAGGCCAGATGATAGACACGGCCAGTTCACCCTATACATACATTACAATATACTGCACAAGCAATTATTTTATACAAAATTAACACAATAACTAAGTACATTATAACACTTGTAAAAGTATAAACACAATAACACGAACATAATCACCAAATTTTTAGTAAGAAGGCTGCAGATACAATTTGTCATGACCAATTTAAATATCAGATAATGGTTAGCTAATAAGAATCAAATTACAACCTAAAGGATTCAAGTATGTAAAAATCAGATGTTCTTGATGTTATCGGAGATCAAACAATCCTAACAGAAAAAAAAGCAATGCAGCTTACCTTGTGTTGTCACACATTTCAAACTCAAAATCACTGAAAGACAAAAAATKAGCAACGTGATATACAGTCACTGATCAGCCTCATCTCTTCACAACTAGACCAATGGGAGGATGGAATATTCATTGACCATAAATTATATCAATTCAGGCCCAGTRAATTCATACTCAAAAAAACAACAAATAGTTTGAATTTGGTAGATAAACAGCTCAACGTATGAATCAGTTAAGTTTGACGCATCTCAGTACTATGCACGTTTGATACGCTCACTCGTGAGAGATCTTTTCAACACTCGAAGATAAAATCCACATCTCTGCATGCTCATGTAATATCCTCTAATATTATATATCCTTTTGAAGCTAACACAATAATCTAAGTCTATGAACATTCGTTTGCAATAATATTTAATAAGTGATTTATTACATATTAATAATCAAAAATGGAGTCCAAATTTTTAAAAAGTAAAATCGAAAAAGTGTTAATTTTTTCAACAAAATTTGTACGGTATATTTGTCACTACATATTGAACTAAAAACTGTGTCAGCGTTTTTATGGTATGCTCGATGGCCCTTTTAGGGTCGAAAATAAAACCCACTTTTCAATCTGTCCATCGAGCATACCGTATTTACTCGAATAGACGCCGCGGCGTTTATTACATTTTRCACGATCCAGCTGCGGCGTTTATTCGAGGGCGGCGTCTATTCGGGGGCGGCATTTATTAAAAAGACAATTTATTCAGTACTACATACCGTACTTTATATTGTATCTTTTTACTAACAATTAAACAGTAACGAATCTCAATATATAAATGTCGTGTTCACTTTGTCTATTCAATTTATGATTTTAACCAAAGTTAAACTTCTATTTCAATATCAATGTCCTCCTTGTGGTCGGAATCTATAACAGCTGCTGAGATCAAACAAGTACAGTCACTTRGAAATAAAAAATGTTCTAAAAGAAAATAAATTCTCATTGCTGTTATCATTATTTCATCAAATTGACGTCGCACCCAGATGCGGCGTCTATTCGGGGTAAGTGCGGCATCCATTTGAGGGCGGCGTCTATTCGGGGGCGGCGTTTATTCGAGTTAATACGGTACGACTTATTCCAAAATGGCTGACTAGCCCATTTTTTCTTTTAGAGTCACTCTAGCTCAAAGACAAAAGAATAATTTTATGAAAACGAGACATCAAGGGCTAGTCAGCCATTTTGGAATAATGTGTAAGCTTATACCTATGTGTTTT